AAATTTGTAACTACAAATATTAAGCTCCTTTAACATTTTTCCACTGATTACTGGGATGGGGTTGCATTTTTCACAATCATTTCGAAAAGGTAGTTTTAGTGGGTTCAAGACCCACACTGTGGCTTTCCACCTACTGAAAAAAGAACCTAATCATATATATCATAAAGGATTCATAAAAAATAGTTGAGAATATCATATGAAAACATTTCTGAGCCGCAAGGCTCTATAAGGAACTATAAATATCTGACAGAATAACAGAAAGACAAAAAATAGCTAACGAAAAACAAAAAATTTCAATGAAAGCTCTATAAAGTCTTACAAACAACACTGATTTTAATTGCATTCTAATGATTATAATAATAATGATAATGATAATATAAATAAATAATAATTATTATCACATCATTAAATTATAAGTTTTAAAATTTTTAAGTTTTAGTTCCTTGGGTTTTATTATTTTGTTTAGTGCCAGTGTGTCTTTGGTACGAGACGCTTTATTGAATTTTGATCGACTATTGTCAATTCTAGCCATAATATGCGAAGATTAAAGCTTCGCAAAGAAATTTTCTATGAATCCAACAAGATTATATATACAAACAAATAAAAACGACTGATATATATTTAGCATATATATATATATATATTCTGGAGAACCATAGAAAATAATTATTAAGAGATCGTTGAATTGCAATTGAAAAATAAGAATTTTAACCTAAGGACATTATTTACTATTGCTGTTATTCATAGTCTTATTATGTATTTTTTTTACATATGTAGATCTTAAGATGAAGTAAAAGATGATTCTATATGTTTGATTTGAACCATATTTCTGTATTACGATTACAGTTACATCTGATAAGCCCTTTTATGGCTTATCGGCTTTTAATTTAGGAAACTGAATCGTGTTCCTGATTGTGCGTTTTAGTAATATAAATTGGTCACTAAGACCTTGTGATATATCATCATTAGACTTTCTTGTGGAGCTACTAACAAGATTAATTTATACAAATAATCCGCAATATTTCTCTATGCTTCCAAAACATACATCCGTGAAGTTGTTGCCGAACTATTGTTAGTTCTTAAGCTCCAGTATTGTAAAATGAATCTTTGGAGAACAATTGCATTACGTCGTATATCATCTATAATACACAAACCAAAGATCCAAACATTATATTGAAATAAATTTCGACCAAAATCGCTGTAAGATGCTATATTCAGTTATAAGCACACGCAACTTCCATTCGGAAGTTACAAATCGGAAGAGTTGTAAATTGCATTATTTTAAATTTATACAAAATTTTTAGAAACAACTTTATAAACACGTTTCATATTTAGTCACTACATCTACATTACTACATCTAGTCTCTCACAATGCATATACAAGAGCATATTTTTCTATAAAAAAGTTGTAACATTGAGGGCTTTTGCTCTAAAAAAAAGGTTTTTGCTATAACGATTATCTTAAACGTATAGTTATGTCATTATCCTTAGATGTGATTAATATATGTACTGACAATGCTGTCAAAACTCAGTATGGATTAGAGAAAAAACATTTTAATTAAAATCGGTTTTATTTCATTCTATTGCAAGGGTCTATCACTCACTACACTGTAAAGTAAAAAAATTAAAGTCTAAAATATAAAAAACTAAAAAAAATTAAACAAATAAATGCTACTAAATTTCAACTAACGACTCCAGGAACAATCTTAATTAAATTCTTACAACGAGTGACCTTCGATAACAACTTAATCCTGCAATGAAATTCCAATTGTTAAATATTTGTTTTATGATCTCGGAATGAAAAATTACACAAAAACAAAAAATAAAAAAAATAGAAATATAAAACAAGAGTATCTTTCATTTGTAAATGTAATTTTGTGATATTTTTTTTACTGATTTCGATGTAGTATTGGTAATTTATGTGCACGTAGCAGACGACGAGAAAGTCTAGAACAAATATTTTGGTACATTTTTGTTACATGCTGGCTTGACTCACTCCAATTCGCATTCGCATTTGGTAACATGGCCAACCTAAGCACTTTTAATGTGATAAATTTTGCACAGAAAACAAAAAATTATGTGAAAAGCAGATAAAAATCAACAGCAGGAGTAAACTCACGACACGCAAGTTAGCAGATACACACGTACACACAAGCTCAAACAATTGCAGTTTGTCAAATAAAGATACAAACTGCTCGATTGCTCCATTGCTCGATTGGTCGACGTACGTACGTAGAGATACATGAGTATATTCCGGCAAACGCGAAACTAAACAAGCATAAAACGTTAAATGAATGACCAAAAAATTCAATCAATAATTCGAGTGTATCTTCATCACGAATTTAGGGAATCTTAAATGTTAGCGTATCTATGAACCACAACACCCACTTTTAGACACCCGCATCCACATCCGTATATATTTTTTTTTTTATTAGAGTAAGATTGTATCTGCAATAGCAGACAACTTTGTGGTACATGACCAAAAGTAATTGGCGATGACCATGGAACACGAGCTCAACCACAATCGCAACAACAACAATAAAAATAGCTACAACATAATATTGCAACTAACAAACCAGCAATTGGCAACTAGCAACTAACAACTAACAACCAAGCAGCTATTCGGATGGTTGTGTAGTGTGCCGAAAATAAGGAAAAAAATTGTTTTAAACATTTTTTCGTACATAAATGAAACAATTCATAAAAAATTCAAGAGCTCAAAACCAATAAAACACTTGCAATGCAAACAAAATAAATGAAAATTGAAAATTATATTTCGAAATAGGAATAAATACAATATTTAAGTGTAGGTCGAGGCATAAAAAACAACCTAAAGTTCAGATACAATCTTCGATTCTTTGCAGTAGACAAAAAAATGTTCTAGTGCAAATATTATGAATAATACGAATACATATTTCCAGCTAGAAATTGCAGAAAGCTAGGCTCTGAGAAGATTTTTCAAGGTATTATGGTACATTAGGACGAATAACATCTTGAGGGACCTCAAGATTGATCCGATCAAAAAATACGTAAAGGATAGAGCTCTATAATTATTTGCGAAAATTGACAGAGTTACCAACACGGCGTTGTCGAATCTCAGAATGGTTACAAGCTCCTCGGAGAGGTATGCAGATCATAGGTTAATTATTGCTTAATCTGATTAAGTGATAAACAAAAATCCAGTCAAGGCTTAAAGTGGGGTTTTGAAGATACCTCGAGTTAATAAAGAGTAAAGCTGCTCAAGTTCACTGGCTCAAATAGGTTCAACATAAAAACGAGTATATATTTAAGATGATACAAAAACGAAAACGTCCAGCAGCTTAATTATTAAAAATATGGAATCTTTTTATTAAAATTTTAAAGTTTTTTTTTTGAATGAGGAAGTCATTTCTTTTGAAATTGATGCTATCCGTACGCTGACTACAATCGTCTTCCACATTTTTTTAGAGTCGCTTATTTTAAATATACTAACAATTTCTATCCCTAGTATTGTAACTAGTTGTCATTTAAGGTTAGGTGAGGTATGTTTGGTACACAAACTCGTAAGCCCACCCTAACCTAACCTTGTGCTGTAATGACAATGACTTAATATTTCAAGTTATTGTCAGTAGCCTTGAAATAAAGTAATGGACAGTCTACAAAATTCATGAAAAGTGATTTACAGACAAAACATTTGATACTATTTAATTCATTTTGTTTTATTTACTTCTTACTTACTTATTTAAAAGAAACAACTTAAAAGTTATTCTTCAGTTATTCATGTTTCTAACATTACTCGAAATTTTTTTTTAGTTTTTCTGCAAGCTTCAACTTTCAAAGGATTTATCGTTTAATGATTTAAAAATGAACGAAACAAACTTTTTTAAACTTTATTAAATTCTTGTCTAAAGTATTAAAAACTTTTAAGTTCTGCTAAGAAAACTATATAATAATGAAAAGGACATGTTTAGTACTATAAATTTTAAAGGATTTTCAACAAATTCCCTAAATCACTAAATAAAAAAAATCTGGGATAAAAAAATATTTAAAAATTTTTAATAAGTAGACCCTTGAGCTTAGAAAAAACCCAGAAGTCATACGGTGCTAAATCAAGTGAATATAATAATTATGGAACGTTATGAATTGAATTTGTGACAAAATCTAGGAATCTAGGAATACACCATCCCAAAGCTGATGCAAAAACCAAGAACAGTCTCTCCATAATTCTTACTGCTTCTTCGAATAGCTTTACGTAAATGTTGCTTTTTGTGTAATTAATATTTTTTTTTAAGCTTTTGAACCAGCGAAAGGTCTTCATAATACACCACACGATTATAATTCAGAAAAACTGTTAAAATGGCTTCGATTTTTAAACGAATTGGACATGATTTTTTCGAGCTACGCTCACCTTTTGAATTTTGATTATTCGTTTGTTTCCGATCATACACATAGATCTAAATCTTATCTGTATTTATCATGCATTACATCTTATCCTGATCATCAGAAAGCATTGTTTGGATGGCTCCAACGGATATTGTATTTTCTAAATTTCTATGTATTTCGCACCAAATAAGATTTTTTTCTTAAGAGACTCAAAACATTAAAGGTGGTAGTATCAAATTGTTAATAGATAATTCTTGAGCATGAAAACTTTGATTCTTTAATGTTAATATTGATGGTCGTCCAAACTGATCTTTGTATTAAATGCTTTCTATACTTATTTTGTATTATTTATACCAATAATACATATACAAATATTTCTCTGACATAGTCTGATCATCATAGGACTTCTATAACATTCTCAACGTTCAACTTTATTTCTCAATTAAACCAGAGAAGACACTACTAGCCTAATAGAAAGAATTGCCAGAATCAAAACCTTCGTATATTCTGAATTACAATAAATATTTTACCTTATTTTTATTTATCAAAGTAGTATGTCATTATTTGTAATAAAATTTTTTATTATTAATTACAAATTTTTTTAAAAATATAAATTTTTGTGGCGCATTTAGAAGAATTATAAATTGTGAAGTCGTTTTGTAAAAAATTGAATAATTCTTTATAGACCTTGAGAATCCTTTTTAATCTTTTAGAATATTGTGATGTTTCGAAATTCAAAAAAATTAAAGGTAAGTAAAATTAATCTAATATTAAGATATATATATGGGCCATAATAGCATAAAAACACAAACAACACAAGTTCAATTCGATCACCAAAACCATCGCGCAGAAAGATATGCAATGAATATCGCTTGATGAAAGAAAAAGAAAAAGAGAAAGAAAGAGAAAGAAAGAAGAAGAAAGGGAGGTGAAGAGAAAAAAGAGATAGTGTTATGTGGACAATATACCAAAAAAAACACATTGTTATCATCAGTGAAATAAGCATGGCGGTTATACCAAAACTACACATATAAGTGATACAGATTCATGTCATATCTGCAAGACAATACAAGAGTATATTGTGTTGGGTCATAGGGTTAGTATAAATATAGATAACTTCATATGTTGATGTTACGAATCGCTTAAAAGTGATTATTCAATTTGGTGAATACGTAGTCTAATTCAGAATTCCTCTCTCTCAAATCAAATGCAAAATATATTCCGTTAGGAGGATATGCTGCTCTGCAAACTATCTTTCTGTAATTTAAAATAACTCATCAAAATTCAATGCAGCTCTTATTACAGTGGATCATCTAAGTAATCATAGACGCAATCTATAGTGAATACAACTAAACACGCTAAATACATAATATTTTAATAGAATTTATCATTTACATTTTTAAATATCCGTATCTATCAAAACAATCTTTGTTATTCTTCTAGTTTAGCATTCATAATAATTTTTCTATACTATACTTGCATCACTTTTTCAATGTCTGATCATTGGCCTTAAATCATATTAAAAATGTAGTAATTATAAATAACCACTCTGGACTAAACAAGTACCAACTGTTTTTTAATTGAACTGAATACTCGTATAACTTAAATTCCTATTAAAGTTTTTTACTTACCTGAAGAAGTCCAATGAGTTTTGCACCCATTTACTGGTATGATCTCTTTTGTAGTAATCACTTCTACTGCTTTTGTATGCTGATGAAGTTGTAATTAAGGATGCTGAAGATATTGTGGTTGTTGTTGTTGTTGCTGTTGCTGCTGAAGTCGTAGTCGTAGTCGTAGTCGTGATTGTTACTGCATTGACTTTTGTTGTATTATCTGTCGCCTTACTTCCAATTGTCACCGGCGTGATGGTCTCATTGTAACCACCTCCGGTAGTTGCTCTACTTACCACTTCTTTTGTGTCATTTATTTGCGATGCTATTGCCTTTGTTGCTTGCTGTTGGCGAAGTAATTGCACATGCAATTTTTGCGGTTGTTGCAACTGTTTTTGCTGATATGACCACAGCGGCAATTTTTGTATCTGCTTCACCTCAGACGATAGTCCGACCAGTGACTTGCTCGTTGCATTCTCTATGCCGGATTCGTGTAATCGTTTTGTTGCATTTCCGGTGACAACATCATTTTCATAACTAGCAACATTTATGTTGTGTCTAACATGTGTTTTGTTTGAGCTTTGATTTAAACGTTTACTTCGATTGGGACTATGAATTAGTTTTTCATTTTGATTGCACGTACTCGTTGTTGCTGTTGCTGTTGCTGGTACGAGTTGCTGCAATTGCTGTCGATTGCTATTGTATGATTTTTGTGTTGAATTTATTTGTGCATTGCTCTGTTGTTGCTGTTGTTGCTGTTGATGCTGATAATTGCTGCGTAACGCGCTTTGCAAGTAATTCGTATTGGACGTGTTATGTCCGGTCGTTGAGGTTTGTGTACCACCAACTGTTAAGGGTGATGTCGAACTATTGGATGAACTACGCTGATGCAAGTGATGACTGGGCGGAAGCAAACGTGAACTTGGCGATGACCTAAGGTCATTTAGCATAATATCCAAGTCCGTGGCAAGTGAGCTGAGAAGCTGGAATTAAAAAAGAACACGCTTAAAAACTTGGTTCAAAGTAAACAATTAAGAACTTAAGTTAAAAAATGTTTTTGTTCTTAACTTATTTATGTTCTTTTTTTTAGAAACTTCATGGAAGCAGAGTTTAACTAAAATTTAATATTTATTTTTGCATTCAAGTATTTATTTATATTATTTTACTAGTATCCAAAGGTGTATAACTTTATTTAGTTTTTGATAACATTGGCTTTTATAATCTCAAAATCTTGAAACTAAAACTAAATACTCATAAATTACATCAACTCTTAGGTAATAATTCTCAAAACTCGTAATTCAAATTCTTTTTTCTAAACAAAATAATTTCCATGCTCTCATTTTTAAAGAAATTCCATTTTTGTTAACACGTCAGTACCAGATGTTGAGCTGTACATTTTGTTTATCAGTTAAAAACGAAATCAAGTCGACTTGGTTTGTTTACATAAGCAAGCCACTGAAATGCACTTTACTTAATTAAAAAAGTTAGAATAGAAATAAATTATGGCCACAATATTTAGCTCATAAAATTATTGCAACTAGTTTTAAAATATTCACCGTGTAGGTTAAATCAACAAACAACTCCACCTCAGGCAACATGTTCAGAGTGAAAAAACGTGTTGTGAAACGTTGGATACGGCGGATAATTCTATTTACCATAACTATTGCTACCTTATCCTATATAGTCTCACTTGTTGTTGAGCACCGTATGAAAAAAGTTAACGATAGTACAGAAGCACCGACTGATTTTAATGGCGATCCGGTGACACCAGAGTTTAAGCTAGCGCATAAAGCACTAACGCCACGTAAGCCACGTCCTCCTATACAGCTAAGAGTAGAGGAGAACCCTTTTTTGAAGAATGAAGAACTTGATTTGCAAATAAATAAGGAACCTGTGTTAGTAGAAGTTAAGGAAAATGAAGATCTTGATTTGCCAATAGAAGAACCGCCGGTTGCTGGACCGAAGCGAAAACATTTCCAAGTACCTGAAGCATATGGACCCAAAAAAGATTGGAATGATTATGTTAGCATGGAAGAGGATAGAAAACGCGTTGGTATAGGTGAACATGGTGTAGCAGCTCACATAACTGATGAATCCTTGAAAGAACTTGAGCAAAAAATGTCACTACAAAATGGTTTTAATGCACTTCTGTCCGATTCGATATCAGTAAATCGTTCGATAGTGGACGCACGACTTGAAGCGTGAGTATGACTTATTTATATTTCTGCTATTTATTAATTATTTTTCAAAATTTTTAATATACAGCAGTGCTAAAACATATTTTACATATAAAATAAATTTTGAAAAATTATTTCTGCTCACTTTCACAAATTAGTAAAATTTTAAAATTTTATTTAAATCAGTTTCTTTTAGATAAGATAATAAAACTGATATGATTTTTTCATTATTTTTTTATACATAATTTTAGTTGTCACAGCAAAATGTATCTGGCAAAATTACCTACCACAAGTGTCGTAATTCCCTTCTACGAAGAGTACTTGAGCGTACTCCAACGTACTATGCACAGCATCGTGAATCGCACACCGCGAGAATTACTTAAAGAAATCATACTTGTCGATGACTGTAGTACTCGTGAATATTTAAAAACTCAACTGGAAGAATACGTAGAAGAGCATTTTCCTAAACTAGTACATATAGTACGTCTACAAAATCGTACTGGTTTAATTGGCGCCAGAGTAGCTGGTGCACGTGTAGCAACTGGAGATGTTTTAGTTTTTTTTGATTCACACATTGAATGCAATTATAATTGGTTGCCACCACTTATCGAACCCATAGCCATAAACCCGAAAATCTCAACTTGCCCCATTGTTGATGTCATTGAACATGAAACATTTGCATATTATGGCGCACATCAGCAGGGATCACGTGGTGCTTTTGACTGGAATTTATTATATAAACAATTGCCACTATTACCAGAAGATATGGTCGATCAAACAAATCCCTCTGCAAATCCAGTAATGATGGGTGGTTTATTTGCAATTGGACGTGACTTTTTTTGGGAATTAGGTGGTTATGATGAAGGACTTGATATTTGGGGCGCCGAACAATACGAGATTAGCTTTAAAATATGGATGTGTGGTGGTATGTTGTTCGATGTACCATGTTCACGTGTAGCGCACGTATTTCGTGGACCTATGGATTCAAGACCAAGCCCAAGAAACTACGATTTCGTTAATAGGGTAGGTTTAAAAGATGTCTTATATTATGTACATAGTTTTTGGCATTATAATATTCTATTATTTTCTAATTATACATTTCATTTTTTTACAGAATCATATGCGCTTAGCTGAAGTATGGATGGATGATTATAAGAAATACATTTATGATCGCAAACCAGAAATTTATTACAATCTCGATCCGGGTGATTTGACTGCACAAAAAGCTATAAGACAGAAATTAAATTGCAAATCGTTTCAATGGTACTTGGACGTTGTTGCACACGATCTAATTGAAAACTTTCCACCCGTGGAACCACCTCTTTATGCTTCTGGTGTCATACAAAGTTTAGCATTTCCACAATTTTGTGTAGATACAATGAATCGCCCTAGGCCTGGTTCTGTTGGACTCTATTATTGCGCTGACAATAAAACACATCCACAATTAAATCAATTTTGGATGCTAACATGGTACCGTGACATACGCCTCAAAGAAGGCTCTAATTGTTTAGACGTACAAGCTTCTCACCCCAACTCCAGCATATTGATGTGGCCGTGTCATAGTCAAGGTGGTAATCAATTTTGGTACTATGATCGTGAACATAAGTGGGTAGTACATGGTATTCATGGTAAATTTTGCATGGAAGCGTTTGTGAACGAACAGGGAGAACCGGAAGTATACGCAAATGCCTGTGACGCCTCGAACGAAAATATGAGGTGGCAGTTTGGTTTCGTTAATAATACACAACTAGATCAATTTCGCGAAGGTTTGAATTACTCTTAAAAGTCCTAAAATTATCTTTTGTATATTATAAATTTATTTTGTGAATGTAATGAAAAAATTCTTGTATATTTGTGCGAATAAATTTTTGTGTATATATTTTCTAAGACTTCGCTTGCTTCTTTGGACTTAGTGAGTATGTCTTATGTATTTTTCTCAGTGTTTTTTGTTTTTAATTGCATTTTTAGTTTATTTTTTGCTATTTATCATTGAAATTGGTTACAAAAATGAAGTCATTTTGTAGTTTGTCGCTTTCGCATATTTGCGACTACAAGATAAAGGCTTGTATCTTGTAGGCTTGTGAATTGCAGCGACTTGTGAAAATCTGGTACAAGTTACATGGCAGAAACAAGCGATGACTTGCAATTAATTAATCACACTACTTAGCTTTGGAAATTAGTCTTTGGCTCACCTCGTTTGGGTATTATTTTTTACATAGAAAATCGAAAAAACTGTGTTAAATTATTTGCATAAACAACTTCATATCCAGCAAATTGCTTAGGCAAGTGTGAAAAGATGTTTTACATGTGAGCCAAGTAGAATTTATATATTGTACTATAAAAGCAAAACCAAGTCATTTATGCTTGAACATTAATCACACAATAATCGCAATTTGCAGTGTACCAAAACATGTTCTTTAGACCGTGCGATTTTCAGTCCATGAAACTATACCAGACTTTTTGACTACTTTTTTTTTTGTAATAAATGCATGCCAATGCCTTAGTGCAGCTAAAACTAACAGTAACTTAAAGCCTGATTGATTAAAACAAGGTCATGTATTTGACCATTAAAAAAGTGCAATACTTAAATGCACAATGCAATTAAGATTTGTTATGGTATTTCTTAGCAAGTCATTAAAAATTATACCGAAGAGTATAAATAAAAAATATTTAATAAATAGTAATGATTTGCAATATAATTAACATATTAGTTAAACGTTTCATAATTAAATTAAAAAATGCTTTACTTAAATATACTTTAAGTTTAATTTTTGAATTATCTATTAAGCGTTTTTAAATAAGAAATTGCAGTAGCGTAAGCTGTTCTCCTGAAAGAGGAGAACCATATGCTGGGTTCTTCTATGGGAAGTGTATGCTGGGTGCCAGGAGAACCATATGTTTCTAGGAAAACCATTTTTCTATGAGAAGTGTATGCTAGGTTCTTCCAGGAGAACTGTATGCAATGTTATTTAAGGAGAACCGTATGATGGGTTTTCCAGAACAACCATCTTTCTTTCAGGAAAACCGTACGCTAGGTTCTGGGTTTTTTTTGAAAATTCAATTGGAAATATTTTTTTCTTCCGATAAAATATTTTTAAGTATTAAACTTTTTAATTATTATTACTACCCATTTCAATCTCTGTCGCAGCCAGTTATAGACGAATGTTAATGGCACAGACAATAATATTTACCAATTATACTCCAAATGTAGAACTTAGTAAATAGAAGAAAATCGAAAGTATTAGAAATAATGTCAGCCCTAATTTAACATTGGACTATAGCACGACTTGTAGCCAAGCTACAAATGCCCTGTCGAATCTTCTGTAGTACATGTCTACTGGCACTCGAATACCTGTTGAAAAACTTATTGTGTCTATATCCAGGCTTCTGCAGAATCAAGATTAGGTATTTGGTAACGGGTTATCTCTATATGAGTGAGTAAGATATTGCTAACAGTGGTAATGGCCAGATATTTATATTTATCAATGCGTCCAACTAGTTCTAATATGCCAAAGAATGTGGAATTAAAATGGTTTTCTTAGTTAATTGAGGAGGACTCGATACTCCTTGTAGTTGTGGGTATACGACGCGCTCCAGCTTTAATACATATACCTAACTTTATATTCACAATTACGAAGAATGTGGAATTAAAACGGCTATCTTAGCAACTCGATCATTCGAGTTGCGCAGTACCGAAAAAAAACTAACAGACCTGATACGTTAGTAATGCGTTCGTTTAAGTTACTGGATTACCGAAGATGTCTAAATACATTCAAGAAGTCTAGAAATCTTTCCAAAAATCTAGAAATCGTTCAAAAAACCTAGAAATCTTTATAGAAATCTAATCGAAATAAATCTATTAAATGAAACATTACAAATTTTAATAGGACCTAAGAAATCTATAAAACACTTCTTACTTTACTTTCTCCTTAATCATGTACTGAGATTCTCATTATATGTATAAGAAAATATGTAACCTATCATTTTAGAAACAAATAACTGAATATTTATTTATTTTGTCTTACAGAGCATTCCATTAGGAGAAAACATAATCGTCTGACAATGTTAAAATCGATATGTCAATATATCAGTAACTGACAAGTGTACGAGTAGTACACTTTAAACACACTGGAGCAATATTTATGTACAGCTCAGGTATCTGTCAAAAACATAAATCAAATACTGTTGTATCTATTTCATATCTATTATCTGTGCATGAAAATCATGCTAGAGAAAGGATTATCTTAAAATAATTTAATAAATCAATTTTGCGGCGTTATCGCTTTTACGTAGTCTAAACGGCAGAGTGGTGTGTATCTATTTTCAATCAGCCAACTGTTCAAATGCCTCTGGGTCATTTATCTTAATTTTTTTCTTTTTTTGGGACTTTTTTATACCAATTTAATAACAATTCTTTTTTATAACACAATATTTACTTATAAAAACAATAGCTGAACAATTTGATACAAATTCTACGACATGAGCTCAAGTGTCTTGAGGTAAATTCAGAACGCGCATTGCAAAACCCCAAAAATATATGAGTTTATTTCTGAAATATATTGACGTACTTATTTATGAAATTGTTGAAGCAGTTGTTGTTGGTATTTTTCTTACTTTTGTTTGCCAATATAATGTATCTTATAAATTTTATCTTTCAATAAAACTGTTTTGGTACACTTACCCTTCAGCAATGCGTTAAATTGCTATAAAAACAATAAAAACAAACTTACACCAAAACAGTGGAAAACAATCTAAAACAATAACAAAATATATGGCATTATAATGTTGAAGTATTTTATTAAAAAGTGTTCAATTTATGTTATAAATGGTTTTTAAAGTGCTTATATTTTGACACTTTTGGTACAATCCGAGATATTTCGCAAAAGATATCAAGTTTTTGTGGTAATGATGGCACGTAAAGCAACTGAGGAAACACTTATAATGTGAGGATTTTCATTGGCATTTTTGATCTTTATATTTCAATGTTTTAATTATAAAGAATTACTCATACTCTTAATTTTAAAAACTTGACAGATTGTTTGCTTTTAAGATTAAAAAAACGTTTTTTTTTGTGACTAATTTTGTCGGCTTTGCTTTTGATCAAAAGTTATTGGAGTGATCATTAATAAACTTATTACGATTTGAAATTTATTTCCCATAGTTTAAAAGCCTATGGAGGACAATTAGGAATAAATATTTTTTTTATCCAACAACGAATTTACATTGATTCATATATTTTGCTCCAATTTAACAAGACATAAATGTTTACTATTTATAAAGTCTACGAACTGCACTTTTACTAAAATATACTCTTAGTACCTATATGAATAGTCCATATATTTCTAATAATATATTATATTATAAAAAAATGGTGTGATGTTAAGTATATCAATAAGCATTTTGATAGTATCTTCATGTTTGTTTTATCTTTATTAAAATAATTTATATAGAATAATATATAAATAAAATGATTTTTAAAATCTTCGACAAGCCATATATCGATAATTACTTTCTACGATGTGTTGTTGGAATGAAAACTTCCACATAAATACGTCATTAATTTGCGATTAAAAAAAGTCATTATAAAATGAACTCATGCGTTATTTTCTGATCGCATTATTGCAACTAACAGCACCCTTAACAAAATATCGGCTAATGATTTCACTACTACTTAAATCACACCAAAGTCTATTCAGATTGAAATAGAAAGAGATTCTCTATATAAAATATTGCAAATTTTTAAAACCGTTGCCACTGGAAACAACGTTGCTAACTAATATATCAAGTCTCTAGAAAAGAAAGCTTCGTTTATATATCAATTCAGATGAAACTAAATTCAAGCGTTAGTAGAGCTAAAGGATTTGCCTTTGTTATTGTTTAGATTTCAGATATAACTCTAATCGTTTTAAAATTGCGAAAAGTATTAAAAATAAATCACTTCTCAATTGCTTTTATACTTGCCATCAAAAATTATGTTACCAACTTAAATATTAAGCATCAAATAATATTCTTTGTAGATGAGTTAAGTTGAGCACTGACTATATACTCATTGAAGATTAGGGATGTGTTTTCTTATTAATGCAAAAGGCAGTTGTAATTGTCCAATCTTTTTTAAATTGCATAAGCCACCAAATGCAAACGTCAATTGCTTATATAGTTGCTACCGAAGACTTTTAAAATCAAACACAAATAAATAATCTTACTGTAGTATTTCATATATCCAGAAGGCAGTAGCAATGAGACAAATGGCTTCTATTTTTCAGGCGTAGCTTCACTCCATAAAGCTATTCGTTAGAGAGTGCATACGTAGGAACACTCGCGGTACCAGCATATACCAACATCCTCTCAGACAGTCAAGCAGCTTTAAAATCACTAATAGCATTCACATGCCAATCGAAGTTGGTTTGGGACTATTTAAATCTTCTCTATATCTTAGCGACGAAAAATTCTGTGACTCTGCTATGAATACTGGGATATGAGGGGCACGAAAGCAATAAAAGGCAGAAATTGTTCCAAAAGTTTGGAATTGAACTAGTGAGGCGCGAGGCTGCAAAAAAATTCTTTCAGGTCACAGTACATGCACAGCCTATTCATAATAATAATAATCTTATATTTCATATGTATATAGCGTACAATAATACGTAATACATGATATATATATATATATATATATATATATATATATGGATGTTATGAATCATGAACTTCAATTTAAGGTAAAATTATTGCAACAATGCGTTGCTATATGTACACTTCACAATATCTTTAATCTTATACCTAACAAATATATTATATATAAGAATATGATAACTTTATAATGGTTATCATTAATTAGATTAGATATTAATTAGATTATTATTAGACTTTTATTAGATATTCATAAGAGA